GGCCGGTTTTGTAAGAACAGTTTACGTATAGGTCTCGCCGAGCGTAGACGGGAATACTGCACAGTTTGCCTCCAGAAGGTTTTTTTAGGAGGTCAGTCGCTCCCTAAAAGGGAGCCACTCTCGTTTCAATCATACGACTTCCTTTTGCTATTTTTCTCATCTAGCAGCAACGATTTGGGCTCCTTCAAATTTCAAAGCCATTCTCTGCCAGTATCGGTCTCCATCTGCCTGCACCGAATTGTCCCCTATCGCGGATCTTCCAAATCGATCTCCAATAGTTTGAGTATTTTTCGTCTTTTGAATACGGCTGACCGACATCCAGTTCTAGGAATCCTAAAGACTGTCGTTTCAGGTCAGCTGGGAGTCAAACGCTTCCGCCTAGGTACGGTGAGTCCTGGTGCCCTAGCAGTGGTGGCCTTCTATCCCACAGAAGTTACTGAACGTCCCGATTCTGGGTTAGGGTGGGCCTTGTTAGCACTTTGACATGTGTGCCCGGTTTAGCAGTTACGTGCGTGTGGCCTGCTGTCAATCGAATATAGTGCACCAGGCAAAAATGGATAATTTTATAAAAGACGGTTGGTCGATCGATCAGGTTACGGACGTGCTCGTGTCGTTTCATGGAGCTTACTATTGCCGATTATACTCGTTAGAACGAGCCCGTGGTTAAATGGTAGAATGTTAAACTTACTAGCGCCCGATTATCGCTGGCTTGACCCTCAGATCCTGATAACTTGGTGTTCGACAATTCTGTGTGACGATGGCTAAAGAAACTCAATTACAACTCAGCAACACCATCCCAGTCGATAATTTCGCTAAAGGGTACAGGGCGCTTAACCACTTGGTGGACACAGAGACTATTTATCCCCACATGTTTGCTGAGCATCCTTCTGCTCATTTTTGCTTCCTTGTATGTGGCAAGACGTACCTGTCGGCGAAACATTTTCCCTTATTTCTTGAAATCAATAAAAAGTGCTACTTACTCACTTTTTCGTTTTCATCTGTGTATGCATTTCACAGTACGGCCACTGAATCCGGAAGTGTTTGCATTCTAGTTCTAATTTCAACTCAAGATGCAGGTAGGCACCAACAATTTTGCCCCGGGAGCCCACAGGCTTACAGTTGCGTGAGTTTTACTGTTTTTCCTTCACACGCATAATGCATTTTTTACTTAACTGATACCAGACCTTTCGTTCTGCGTTTGCGTCGTAAAATGAAGTTTCCCGTTTCATTAAGACTGATGCAGTCCCCTAAAGCCCAGGAAGTAGCAACTGCTCCCCTCTCTATCTATGCTTCAGAAGCAATACTAGCTTTTTTGTATTTTTAATGCGAATTTAAATTTGAGTATGATGCTCTTCCTTTGTTACTGTGAGCACCTCTGTCGACCCTAAGACTGACCGAGGGCATAACTACAGCTCTGTTGGGGGCGGTAACTACCCGTTGCTTGCTATAGTCAGCCTATACTTTGGTCACACTATGCCCATTGCTGCCAAATCTTTATCATTCTATCGGCTTAACGCTAATTAGAGCTGAAGAAGTCGGATTCTTTATTTAATCTCTATCTATTACTATTGTTAGTTGATACTACCTCCTATTGGTTCGTGGAGCTCCGTAGGAACAGTCAATCATTGCATGCATGCAAGGCATTTAGTCGCATACTCGCATTTTACTTGCTGACTTCCAGACGCTCATTAATCCTTTATTTTAGCCTAATCTGTGACTGCTTCTACCCGAATTCGGGCGGAGTGGAAAATCATATTTATCACCTGGCCCAATGCCTTTTGTTGCGCGGTCATCGGGTCATTATCGTGACCCACGCCTACGGCGAGGACTGGCAGCGTCAGGGCGTCCGCTACATGGCGCGTGGTTTAAAGGTATCCGCACTGACTATTTCCGGCACACCTGTCATATCAGAAAAATCAGTGTGCTTCTGTTTTTTGATGCGCTTGATCCACCTGAAGTACGGACGACCATTCTCGTAGGTCATTGGCCTAAAATCTCACAATCCTGCCTTTATTGATTTGTGCTCAGCGTGTAGACCTCCAGAGGATACCATTCTCAAACTGAAGGAAAACCGAGAAAACACACGATTGTGTGCTTTCAAAAGATCGCACCAACCTTATGCATGCCAGTTCAGCTACTTTTGTAAATGCTCCGTCACGTTTTTCTCGGATTTTCTGTAGCAACGTGATGCAGTCGGTAGGCTTCCTCTCATTCGATTCTTCCGTCCTCTCTCATCACGCTTTCGGTAAGGATGACTTACAGGGCTGCCCAAACAGAACACGAGAATAGGAACGTATCGCACACATAAAATATGTGCCCTTACGATAAATTTCGGGAAGGGTAAATATTTTTGTGTCATGTGGATACGGAAGCAGACTTTCGAACTCTTACAGGAGTCCACCTTCAGAGATAAAAAGCGGCAACCAAAAAGGAGTAATTACAGTGGGCATACGCCACTAAACCTTCAGAGGTCATCAGGTCGTGAAGGCGTATGAAACAGCAACCAAAAAGGAAGGGGGGAAGACAATTATAGGTGTATATGCGAATTAACTGTCAATGACGTCAAGGGTCGTCCGAGGTCAGCAATTAATGTAGGGCTCTGTCTCCACGCTAGAGGGTCCTGATAATCCTGCCTCCTCTTCCGACGGCTTCTTCGTGAGGTCGTCTTCGCTTGCAATCCTTAAGTTCGGTTTGATCGTATTTTGTCCTTTGCTCACTTAATGGCGGTTATTCCGCTTTTAGGAAAGACCACCAACAACATCTCAGTCCATACGTGCATGGTGTACTTTCAGACTTCCACAGTCAATTTTTCGGTCTGCTTCGTGCTTTTTGATTTTAGTCCAGACAAGTGATGTATCCGCTGTGTTTATAACACCTTGGCACGCTATCGTTATGTCATCAGCAGGGCCTAGTGCTTCGGGGCTTCTATGCTCATTTAGGTATCTGCGATTTCATCTGTTATGAATAGTAAAAAACGATTCCCCGGTAATAAATCAAGTGCAGAAGAAGCGTTCACTGGGAGAGGTTTTTTGTTCATCTAACGTTGTGTTGTTGACGAGGACAGAAGTCTAGACTCCAACCGACAAACATGTCCTCGTGAAAGTTTCTTGAATCACCTTTTTACGAACAGATCATAGCATGGAACGCTCTGCCCGCTGACATTATTCGCCCATCATCTGTGGATGCGTGTAATGGTCAACTCGGCACGCATAAAGCTATTCATATACCAGTCACACATACACCCGCGGAATCTGACAACGCTACATTGCGGTCACATAAGAACATAACACTTTCAATATTTGGGTACTACTTGCTGGGTATAATAATACGTCTTTTACCAGATACTTGTCTGTCGCATGTAATCAAGCAAACAATCTCCTTTTCAATGTTATTTACGTAGTCGTGCATTTTTCGATCTTTTTTTTAATCACAAGGAATTTCAAGGGCGTTCACCTGTTCTCCCCTTACTAATACTGAGGTGAAAAATCGAAACGTATTTTGTATTTTTCCTACTATCTGATAACCATAATTTTGAAGTAAACGTTAAGATAGTCTTGTTGTATTTTAGAATTATTTTGGTGGAAAATACGCAAGCTTTTTTTCGTCCCCATGCTTGTGCTCTCTTTTCTCCTTTCAGGTTTACTATATTCCCTACCGACCCTTCTACAACTTATCCGTATTCATCACCGTCTTCGGTTTGCTTCCTGTCATACGAGACATACTGATCCGTGAGAACGTCGATGTGGTCCACGGTCATTCGGTATGCTCGCTTCTTAACGTAAAAATTAGCTGTTAGCTTGAAATGGCCGTACATACTGCGTGGTATGGTATCAAACAGTCGAGTGAATTTATCGCAGGGGTTAATTAAGTTAAACCCGAGCAACTGCGATCTTCAGACCATGGTTACTTAGTAGAGATGAAGTCGATGGATGCCAGAGTAGTAGGAACAGTATATCGTGTACACAGAGGAACGAAGAATAATAGGGAATAAATTCGACTTGGGAACACACGACCAGCGAGGAGGGCCAGCTGGGTCCAAGTACCAGTTTGACAGCAGTCAGGCCAGTGAGCAGAGAGAGCAATTCATGCGTTCAGGCTTGCTATTCGTCATCGTGCTAAGGACCAGCATTGCGGCATCTGTAATTGGCTGTTCGCAGACTTCGAGAACCGCAGTCGTGAGATTCCAGCGGAGTTCAATTCGACGCGAGCTAGTCACCACAAATTCATACTCTTTTAGCGAGGAAACCTTTAGGTTTACTGAGCCGAAGAAGATGTGATCGCTGTAACAAGGCTTTTATTCACCTAATGTTTCGAACTCGTTTGCGGATCCTTCATCAGCAACATTAGCCGAAACAGCAGCAACAGAGACGCGTAATTCATGTACGGGGCGTTGCAGTATCTCTATGATTCAGTTACTATGTTTATGCATTCCTGTGACAGAAGAAGACGACTCGATCGCTGGGACAATACTTTTATTCGCCTGACTTTTCGAAATCCGTCGCGGATTCGTCATCAGAGACATAGTCAGAAAACAATAGCTATCGAGGATAATTATCCGCTTGTACGCTAATGGCTCGATGTCCGGCGTGCGGGCCGTGACTTGCTGAACTTGCATTACACGTGGTGGGATTGGACGTGGTGATTGCTCGGCCATCTGGTTCCCCGGTGTTGGCGTTAGACGACGCCTTCAGCTGTGTGCTTCCCAAGTGGCGACCTGCTTTAACTGAATTGAGCCTCAGCGGCGAGTATTGGCTAAATAGGTCATTGCACTTGTTTACAGACTGGGGGCCCGTGAACCAGGACTCAAGTAATTTGCGACTCACCTCTCGCGATAATTTCGACCTCATCAAATGTGAATGTGTGGCTGGGTCTCGTCGAATGAGCCGCAACTTGAGAATTAGCATCAGCGATGACGTCTTATTTTGCTTCTTCTCAATTACTTCCTGGGACTCGCATGTTCGCTCTCGTTGACAATTAGGTTTACTCTTTGCTTCCTTAATATCCTTCTTATGTCACATTCTGTCCGGATTCTATTTATTTTTAAATCTAGCGACGGTATTATAACAAGTATTAATTAATAGGTAAGTGCTCACAAAATCGACGTATTCTACAGGCTTTTCAACTTAGGCCTTATGTCTAAGGATTAGCGTCGTGTGTGCTTCTCTTAAAGACTCCTTTTTTTCTGCCAGGCCTTCTCTCCACTGGCGCTGGAGTCGCTGATGCATTCTAAGGCTCTTGGTTTGCGTACCATCTTCACAGACCATTCTCTCTTCGGCTTCGCCGACCTCTCCTCAGTCCTTGCCAATAAAGCTCTCTTCCTCTTCCTGAATGTTGTTGACAATTTTATTTGTGTGTCCAATGTGGCCAAAGAAAATAGCGTGCTTCGCGGTGGCATGAATCCGGAATGCGTCTTCGTCATCCCCAATGCAATCGACTCGTCTGCGTTTACGCCTGAACCGAGTGCCCGGGATCCGGAAAACAGTAATTCGTAGTGTTAGCTTTGCTCCTTGTATACCTTCCATCCTGTCACTTACTGCTCAGACTACGTGCAGCATCATGCTGTAGGATAGGAAGTAGTCCGACCGGGTAATAGAAGATGGATGTATCCCAACAATAATAACCCAGTAAATAAGCTGATAAGACATGAGAGGCCAAAGTATTAGGAATAGTTTAATTAAGTGCTGACGGAGTGGAGTATTGGTAAGGGGAAATTGACTCCCAGACGAGTGGAGTCTAGCTGTGAGCGAGCCGGGTGCGAAATCGCAGTCCGGCAGTGAGGGCGTCGGGTCCGGGAGTGGTCGGAGCGTAGACAGTCACCACAAGTAGGTCCCTTGTGAACCGGCCTTGGAAAGTTATTGGCCACTTATGACAGGGAGAGGGTGAACACACGTCCGTGACCTTAACTGACATTCTACACGCTCTGGTGCGCACGTGCTTAGCGGACACGATGGGCAGACGTGGAGCCTGCCCCAGAGTAAGGCCAGAACCGCAATCATGTGGCTTCATGTTTGTCTAAGCCCGCGAGGTCACTACGATACCACGTCTAGAGTGGTTTTTTAAGACTGATGTATAACCATTTTTCGCTATTATGTTGGATCACACATGAGAAACTGAACGATATGTCTGTGTTCTGGTGGACGTAGAAACCAAGCCTTTTTACATTCTGCGGATCTATTGGTCTCTGTTTACTTCCTCTATATTCCTTTACAAATCGCAATGTGTTGATACACCTTTTTTATATTTTATCTACCT